GAAGGATAAAGAAGAACTAATCTCGATATAGAATGGTCCCTCAGTGATTTAGCTTTCAAAAGGATGGTAAATAAATTTGGCAAACTAAATATAGATTTGTTCACATCTCGCACTAATGCCAAATTTGTTACATGAGAACCGGACCCAGACGCCATTACACTAGATGCTTTTAGTGTTTCATGGAATCCGTTTTTCTACGCGTTCCGTCCATAAAATAATAATAATAATAATAATTTATTTGCTTTTAAATGAGGTACATTATAGATTGAATTAAAATTTGAGTTCAGCCCATTTAGCCATCAGCTATAGCATGCAAATATTGATAAAATTACAAAGCCACATTGGATATATGTATGTCAAAATTATTAAATCAGAAATATCATTGTTACATAAAACTATTATAGAGTACAATAATTATTCCCACTTGAAGAATGTCAAACAAATTAAATTATAAAATCAGTATCAATATAAAAGTAGGTAATGTCCAATTGAAGAAAAAAAAAATTTAAAAAAAGATGTCCTAAACAAAAAGTGACTGGTATCTTATTGGTCATCACAACCATGGTTCCCACTCATAAAAATCTTAATTACTTCGGACATATTATTTCTTAAAGCAAATAAGAATATAATTTTCCAGACGTGGGGTGCCACATGCCTCTTTAGATTTAATGGCGGTCTCTTTAGCAAAAAATACCATGTGTCAATATCAGTTGGTATCACATATAAGATATGGCGGCATTTTTGTAATAATATTAATGCAGACCTATACGTTGCTTCTCTGCCTTCAGTATTTTTATTTTTAACTGAAAAGTTTTACCAAGGCGCCTCTTATGGCACTTTAAATAGTCACCATTCGGCCCTGAGTTTACAAAATTAATCAAAATATAATAATTAGAACAAAATTCTCATCTTGATCGAAAGTTTCAATATTTTTAACAATATTTCTTTCGGCTGTTTGGGTGGATGCCTGAACATTGATGAGAATACGCTCTGTAGTAGCAAAAAGTTACAAGTGCTTGAAAGATTCGTCAGTCCTGTTAGGTCCTGGGTAGCTCAGCGGTTAGAGCAGTCGCCCGGATTGCGAAAGGCATGTATTCCCTCCTTCCTATGACATGGGGTCCTTCAAGCGGGGCGTGAAGAAGCACCTTGCAGGTCGGCAAGGTGAGGTTGGCTAGTGCAGTACCTACGTACTGTTTTCACTAGCTGTCCTCACGTTTGGACTACGCCTCCGCTTACCATCAGGTGGAGCGCAGTCATTTGCCCTCCTATACAAAAAAAAAAAAAAAAAAGGTCGTGGGTTCGATTCCCATCTCAGGGTGCCAGGGTGGTGGTGGGTTTTTAAGCATTTTGTATTAAGAATGACAAATATAATAAGTAGCCTATATGTTAATTCATGCTTAGAATTATCCGTATACCAAATTTCATCAAAATCCATTCAGTAGTTTCTGGGTGAAACAGTAAAAAACATACATCCTCACAAATTACGCGTTTTAAATATCAGTAGAAAGGATAGGATATAATCGAATTCTCGGAAACGGTTCAAACCATTTTCATGAAATTTAATATGCAAGGGTTTCGGGGACGACAATTCGATGTAGCTAGGTTACAATTACAAAAAAAAAAAAAACAAGCAAAGCCCGATCATTCAGGTACTGTAATATTAATATGGAACGCTGATTATGTAGTTGGAAGGTAGTCATGAGAACCATTTTTGTTTAATTATTGTACTAGTATGCTGTTACGTTACCGTGCTATGTAAAGTTGAGTCTGCACTAGAGAGTCAGGATCTCGATCAGCGTGTATGGTCTGCATTATTGGAGGTTAATCATCTTTTGAAATTAGCTGTCATCGCATTTTGAGTTTTTCGATTTCTTTTTTGGTTTTCATTTATTCTGTATATGTTTATATTAAATAAAATTTACAGATACAAACTATAAAACTTCAATGTGCCAGAAATATTATAAACAATAAAAAGGTTGTACGTTTGATATCATGTATTATAATTCGATTCACAATATAACATAACAATACCACCACAATGATAAACACTGTAGCGTATACCTTCGAAATTGTATTTTCTTATATTTTATAACACAAGTCTCTCTGCCGCGTCTGTCTGAATGCAATAAATTCATAAGCTAACTACCAGATGAATTAAAATAGGAATCTCATCAATGAATAAAGTAATTAATGACAAAAAAAAATGTTTAAATACATTACGATTTGATGAGGTATAAACGTCAAAGATGTCAAATAAAATCTCACCATGACACTTGATTTTCTAAAAGTACAGGATTGCGTGGTCCATTCTTAAAATATTTATATTTTTCTGCAAAACTGCGTATCCATAGAATAATCCTAATTCTACAAAGGTAAAATTACTAGAACCTCAAAGGAACGCATACGAATCAGGCCGATCGTATCAAACGAATTAGAATGTGTCTAGTCTGCATTATCGATGATTCTGTGAGTGAGGTTGACGGCTACGGATAAATGTACGTGGTCAAAGAATATATAACTATGGAACAAGAAGTGACACTCCGAAAACTTTTCTTAGTTACGTAACATAGTCGGAATGTATGAAGCTTACGGGATTCAAGAGGGAGAGAGGGCTAGTCGGGGTTTGACAATTTACATGTTTTAATATTTTTTCTATTACACCGTGACCGTACCATGAAAAATATTTTTTTTGGCTGGCTCCTTCCTCTTACCGTCACGGTTCCATACGATGTAGGGTTCAAAGACTATTAGCGCTAGTACATTTGAGTAACCTTACTGTGAATACATTCAACACTATTTCTAAATTTGAAAAAATAATAAATTAAAAAACATGACGGCAAAATCAAACTAGCGACGGCAAATTCTCATTGGCATCGGGAGACCGTTGTGTGGAACATATGTAAAATAAACTCTTTTTTTGGGCAGTCGTATATTAAGAAATAAATTATTTTAAACTTTCGTGGTATCGATAATTTTCTACGGTATTGAATCCCCCGTTTTATTCTCCGAGATCAGAAATGATATACTTTAATTACACATGTGACTTAGGAGTTTGAAAGTCTTTGATGTCGTCAGGGAGTACAGTTTTTATGTCGGTAAATTGTTCTTCACTATATTAACCCTAAAAAACGGGACAGGTCCCAAACTCGATACACTACCCTAAATCGAGGGGCTAATAGCATTTCAGATAAGCTAAGTTAAATGTACTTAGATACTATGCTTTTTCTAAGAATTTCCAAGTGGAAACAACTGAGTCACTAATGGGAACTTTGAATATGTTATCGAAGATGAAACAAATTGTCTTGTAATTCTTTGATTGCATAGTTTCATCGATACCTTTTCGAAACAAACATTGTTGTGTGGTTTTTTTTATTGCAGATATAGATAGTGTTTTTTATGTATGCTCCAATATATCTTAGTCAACAGTGGAAGCTGATCTTTTTTGTTTGGAAATACAGTTTCTCGAAGGGGTCTCATTAAAATGTTATCGGAATCAGATCAATAGTTTTGTTTTTATAAAAAAATGTAATTCTAATATTACAGTTTTACGTTTTTAGAGATGGGCAAAAATAAAATAAATAAATGATAATTAAATAACTAAATTCATAATCAATTTGCACTTATATGAAACTAATTACCAATATCGACGTAAAAACGTCCAGCTACCAAATTATACCTCTAATATCACGAGTTATAGTAAAAACAACATCGTCTTAATTATTTTGACGATATCGTTGTGGATCTTTCTAACTGACCACATTAATAGAAGTTCCATAAATAAAAATCTTATTCGCCATCCCAAAAAAAAGTTAGGTATGTACTAAAATTGTTATATTTAATACTAAAATCAACACATCAAAAAAAAAAACGAAAACAAAATTCTTAAACGTTACAAATGCAACTAACAAATTCAATAAACTCCATTTGAACTCTGCCAATTAATTTATCGTGTCTTGCTATTAAAAATATTAACTCTTATTTGGTTCTTTTTATAATAATATTTTTAAAATTCTTTAGAAACGTGGTTGCTAACTCTGACTCTATTCAGTATTTGTTTTACGAATTTTTAAGTATTGCCATTTGTGAGACTTCTCTTGGCTTTGTACTTCTACTCTAAATTCGATGTCTCTTCGAATGTGTCGTCACTTATTTTTATACCAACATATTATAGCGTACTTTTAATACCATACATTAAGAGCAAATTAAGAATAAAGCCTTTGTTCACGTTTCAAATCAATTTAATATTCCTCGGTCCGTAGATTACCTTAATCGAATGATAACATTCCGTGTTTCTTTAGTTAAATGAACAATTATCGTTTTTCGTATTTCCAATTTACGCGGTCACTGTCGTGACGAGATCAAAGAAATCGCTATTCACTTTTCACTTTGATCCTTCGAGTGAAATGATTGGTTAATCTTCAAATTTGTTCTAAACCCTTTACTATTAAGTCCATTAGCTAAGCCAATTGGGGTTAACGTGGCCAATTTTTATATAATTTTGTGGCAAAAGTCTGTCAAAGAAATTGCATTTTAACATTATTCTTTATTTTTAAAATTTACTCTTAAAATCTTTGGGCTTTTTTATTAGGACTTACACAAAGTTAAGGTATTTTTCTTCACTTGAGTATGATGTGTTTATTATCATATAATGACCGGCTTTATAATTTACGAAGGTTTATAATTTAGTATCCATGAAATTAAGTTTTATGACTTCAATAATATAGTTTATTCTAAAGAAAGAGGAAGAAAGGTTTATTTTAACGAAAACAGTAGTGTAAATGATTAATTGAAAATATTTCATTTTGTAAAAAACTAATTTAATGTAAAAAGGTTAACAAAAACAAACGTCACTTTTCACTATGGTAGATTATAATAGTAATCTGAACTATTATGGAAAATCGAAATATAATCATCTCATTAAATCAAACGCTTATTGAAAATAAATTAACAGAAAGCAAACCCTAGAAATTATCTCCTACTACATATTCTATCGAATGTGTTTATAGTAGTTGTAGAAGTTTATTTAAGAAATTCAAGCACTTACCATCCATAAAGTCGGGCCTCGGGGTCTGTAGCGCTCTTCTAATTGAAGGAACATGAGAGGGTGAGGGTTTTCGCTCAGGTAAGGTTAATGACTCATTATAGAACCTCCGCCGCATCACACTTAAAGACTTAGCGAGCCCATACGTTCCATTATCATAAGATCCATAAAGATCACTATCATTCAAATATATACTGTTATCCTCGAACTCGAGAACGTCAGATTCTTCCGTAACGGAGTTTGTGTCAGCATTCTTATTCACCGTTGTGAAAAATGCATGAAACAATTTCGTTCTAGTTGCGTCATCTATTTTTAATTTGTCATTTGGATTTTTATCTAGTTCATCGAAAGATGAGCTGTGTCTATGAGTTTGGGTTTTGACTTTATCATTATTATTAGCCTTGTTAATTGTGTAAGTATTTACATCTTCGACTACATCATTAAATTTTTCTAATGTATCATTAAAGTCATTTGCAGAATAGTTAGATATATGTTTTCTTCTGAACCTGTCCAGTAGGGCTTGATATTCTTTTCTATTTAAAGTACTACTTTCAATTTTGTTCTTATGATTATTAGATATAGGATCCTTTAGGTTGTTTTGTTCATTCCCAAAGTTAGTATTACTTAAGTATGTACTTGAACTAGTATTATTTTCAATAGTCATTTGTGTTTTGGTGATAGTTACTGAGAGGAGTATGAACACTAAGGGAAGGGTGTGGGGTGTCCTCAAGATCGGCACAAAAAGGGGGTGAACAGTGGAAACGGGGCAAAGGAGGTTGCGATGGAACCGTCATGCCAGGCCGGCACCTCAGCTCTGACTATCCTGAAAAAAAAAGAAAAAATATCTGTAAATAAACTTACCGTAAAAAGACGAAGTTCTACAATGAATTTTAAATTCAATTACGAATATTTTACTACATATTTTGACATTAGTTATCATTACTATCTATACTACCTATAATAAAAACGTAACCGATCGATGTCTGTACATTGAAGATATATGAAAAAAACTGTTAGTAGATGCATCAACGTAAAAGAACACAAAACAGCGATTTTTTTTGTCAGTTTGTCTGTGTATTTATGCACGCTAATCTTAGAAATGGCTGAACCGAACCGAAACGAAACGAAATGAAAATATATTTATTCAAGTAAGCTCGTTTTGCGCACTCTTGAATCGTGCAATAAAATTTTGTCCCCTATAACTTGTTCAGGACGTCTTTTGGCTGACAAGAAGAAAGCGAAAAAAACTTACCAGCTCTTTATCACAATTAAATTGTTTACATGAATTTTAAATTAATTTGTGGGTAGGTCAATTACATTTTGTGGAACTTTATAGAACATAGCAATGCATTTACCCAGAAATGATCCTCAGATTTTTTGAAATCTGAAGCTTGGAACGGCAAGTTTATTTTTATTTCTTGTGTTAAGATTATGAACACTACTTTTTTTGTGAAGGAATCGTAATGTCTTCTTGCGTACATTATATTTTCATAGATGTATTGAGAGGCAACAGTCAAAATATTTATTTCTTTAAATATTTCTCTGAGATATTCCCTAGACCGTAAATTATATACATATAGCGCGGACAGCTGTCTTTTTCTAGAAAAAAAAAAACCTTGAATGCTAGCCACAAAACCCCACAGCATAATACTCGTATTACATAATACTTATAATGGACATGTAATATACAATCTCGTGAGTAGGAGATCAAGCGAAAAGAGCGTTGCGCTGCTACAATTAAGCATCGAGTAGTTCACTGAGAACGCAAATATAAGGTTTTCGATAGCAAATTCTTATCAGGTTAGGTTACGTCTTCGAGGCTAGCAGAGGTAGTTGGCAGCCACCTCTGCATTGCGGGGCCTCACCTGTCTGGGAGAGGCTCTCGATGGACCCGAGCCTCTCCATTTGCGATGGGACCAATACTTGGACACTAGAGTGTCCTAGTGACTCGCCTGCGGCTGGATGGGTTCACGGAGAAGAGTCCTATTTCTTGCCATTCCTACTCCAGTTACTTGCCGGGTCTGTTACCCAGAGCTAAAAGTATTTCCTCGACGTTAAAAAAAAGTATAATTCATGTCTCGGCAGATATTTTCGCCAAAAAGGAACATAAATTGTAAGAATGCCTTGAAAAAAGGTCAAACCTGCAAATCTGCTAAAAGGAGGATATGGATTGTTAAGAAGATCCTGCAGCGAGACGTAGGTTTTTAAGCCAGGTTACAGTCTACAGAAACTTTGGCTGAGCATGAATCTATACTGGGTTTACACCGAATCTCGAATGAGTGAAGACATCTCAAGTTATATCATGTTTTTTCCTCTAAATAGTCTTATAATATACTTATATTTATACTTAGTTACTCTTTTTGTTTTTTTTACATTCAAATTACTTCACTTTAAAGTTGGTATTTGGAGTCTTGACTGAAGATACACGTTTATTTACCGGTTATGAGGCTCATGCATTATTACATGAGTCTGAGGGTCGGTGTAAAATTGATGGAGCTCAGTCAAGCACCTCACGGAAGTATATATTAGTACAGGATTTCCGTCGAGTGGGTAAGGTCGAATTTAATATTATTAATATTTTTCTGCGACAAATCAGACGATTATCGCCAATCTGTGTTGCCTTCAACCTGCCTGTACCCTACAAGCGACCTACATAATTAACTGTTAACTAACCGCGTAAATTATAACCGAGTAAGATATTGTTTTCGTAGGTGAAATATTTTTTTTAAATCGGTTTAGTGGTTTCGGAACCAATTCAATGCAAAAAACAATGAAATGTTTCCTTTTTTTTTAAGATTAGAGATTAGCGTATTCGGTTTACAATGGGGTCAGCAATTAAGTAAAGTCTTTATAGCACAACAAGAAAATGACACGTACATACATAAAAAAATTTCATACATAACATTCACACTCGTAACTATGATCAAAAACTCGTCTGTCGCAATAGCCTTGAACACGATAGTGAGTCGCGAGAGTCCGTTACCTCCCCCCGCTTGGTCACCGAGAACGCGGCGTAAGGTACACTTTTCGTTTGAGAGAACGAGCGTAATTTTGAAAATCAACGCTCGTAAGTAATTATTTTTGTCGTAATGTTATTTGTAATCATGCCTATTTATTCATGGTTATTGATTGAAAAAGAATTTATAACGAATGTGTGATTTATGTTCTTTCTTTTATATATTATTCTATTTGATTTCGTCGCTGAATTAAGGTTGATTGTGAATGGCACGTGATTAAAAATTAAAAGGTGGTTCGGGACTAGTAGACTAATGAATAATGGGGCTGATTGACCTGGTCAACCAGCTCCGTAATATTATGAATATTCCATACATGAAATGAAATGAAAAAAAATATAAATTGTACAGTGAAAGAATTTGATATACCATAATTAACACTTCAACGCCACGTCGTAAATATAACGAAAATTGTTTCCTTATAATTTAAATTGTGTTATGTTTAATTGAAGTAGCGTAAGATTGCCTTTTGATTTCAATATTTTTTTTTAAATCAATAGGCAATTTTGTAGATTCCCATTTTCCCATTTTCTTGTAGATTTTACCCTAACAACTTTATAGGTCAACTTACCCCAGTCGAATAGTCAACCAACCCCAAGCATGGGGTAGGTTGACCAGCTTTTCCTATTTTACAAGAAATGACTTGTACCCTATATCATAACGAATAACGTGCTTTTTGCCACGTTTTTCAAAAGCTTAATAGTTAATCTATAAACTGAATCTATTTTTAAATTATTTTGCTAGAAAGAAATAGAAATAGAAACCTTTAAGCTGAAAATTGGTCAAACTTAGCGCTGGCCAGCGATTTCTTTAAAGAATTTGATGAAGAAACATAACAAAAAATAATAGATTGCGCATACAACTGGATAGATAAAAAAATAACAGTTTAAAAATATCAAATTCAGAAGAATAACAGTTGAAACAGCGTATCACTAATACGAGTATATCTTATGTACGATAAAAATGGTCAGACACAAGAGCAGAGAGAGAAGTGAGAAAAAAAAATATAAAAATAACTATCGTAAGGGACGTTTGAAGGAAGGATGACCAAAACATTATTTTCTTGAGTTCCTCCGTGCTTTGGAATGCAAGTAAAGCCGTTGGTCACGGCTGAATCAGTAGTCGTTAACACCCACCAATTCGCATTGGGCCCGCGTGGTGCGTTATGGGCCATTTGATCCCACTCGATTCGAACCCAACCATAGTAAAGAAACAATTCCTGATATACTTTCCCACGCTGACGAAGTCGCGGGCCCAGCTAGTCTATATAAATAAAACTGAATTTCCGTTCGTTAGTCTCGCTAAAACTCGAGAACGGCTGAACCGATTTGACAATTTATACTCTTGAATTATTCGTGGAAGTTCTGGGAAGGTTTAAACGATGAGAAAAAAAAATGCGAGTATGATAATAAAAACGACAATTTGATTTTCCCATACAAACTGTTCTTAGCTGTGACAATATTTATTGTCGTGTAGTCGGTCAGTTTACGCAATATTTTTTAATATTAATATGGTTTTTATTAAGAGGTAAGTGATACTCAAGCGAATATGGGAATGGTTACAGAGCTTTGGCATAACAGTTAATCCTAACAAATGTCAGGCCATCATCATAGGAAGTCCCAGTCTAATTTCCCGGTTGAATCTGAGCGCAGTTCCGTCTGTATCATATAATGGTGTGGTGATCCCCTACACTTCCACTGTAAGAAGCCTGGGGCTTGTCTTGGACCGTACCCTTTCCTGGGAAGACCATATGGCAAATGTCTCACGCCGTGTTCATGGGACTCTTGGCGCATTATATCGACTTAAGAATTTTCTCCCCTCCAGTACGAAGACTACCCTCGTGTAGGCTCTTGTTCATCCCCTTTTTGATTATGCAGATGTCTGTCTCTCTAACATTAATCAAATATTTCTCCTTACACTGACAACCACGCTTGACCTAATATCCAACCAGTCACTAAAATATATATAATGTGAAAGCTCTCTAAGATAAAAGTAGAGTGCAAATAAAAAAAAGACTAGAGAAAGAAACCTTTAAATGGAAATATATAGACTACATTCTGCTATCTGATTACTAAGAATAAAGCTAATAAAAGTATAGTACAAATTAACTCAGCAGTATTAAACATTAAAAGTATTAAATATTATTTGGTATTTGATTAAACTTCGGATAGCGATCGCAACATAGTTGGAATCAATCAAACTTAGTGACTCCTAGAATTTCGGGTCAACGAGTTGTACTATTCGGGTGTATTGTGTACAGAGTGCCAATTAACCAGACCTCTGGTGCTTACAAAAGTCGCCAATCTAAATCTGACTTCAGTTAAAATAAGCAGCATTGTGCCCATCCGATTTTCTCCCTTTTGTATTCTTCTTCAAAGGCGAGATTAGATTGATAACATCCGAATGAACGACGCTAAGGAACTTTCAACACATTGAAAGGCTCTTTTCTTTTCTTTTTTTTGAGAGATTGCCTTATTGTTGACACGGAGATTGTGTGAATGCTGTTAACGGACTGTTAAGAAAGTACAAAATATATTTTTTTTTATTTAAGGAAAAATATACTTTGTACTTTCTACAAGGATAATAAATTAGGATTCGAGTTCAAACATATTTCGCCGATTACAACGGTCTTTATTGTACCTTTGCTTGA